TCAATACAACCGACCCCATGTACTGGTAAGTGACGAGCCTAACCTCAACGAAGTAGTAACGAGGCTACGGCGGGGCATACAACATATACAACCTGCAACAGTTTATACTAAACAGAAAGGAAATACAAAATATAATAAGCAATAACTAGCATTAAATAAATCCAGAATCCAACTGTTCTAATAGTATTTAGCTATAACCAATCCTTAGGGGTGTTTCAACAGCACAATAATGGACCTCAACAGATATGAACACTTAACAACAATTGATGCGGCATGCATCCCGATCCTATCACATAAACAACAACATAATCAATATTCACCCTTATTCCTCCCTATTGCAGCTTGCAACCCGATCCCACCTGTCTACCCTTATTACTCCTCAACACATATCAACCTTATTCCTATTGTAGCGGTGCAAAACCCATCCCACCTATCCACCCTTATTACTCTTTGATGCGGCGTGCAACCCGATTCCACCAGACAATCACATTTTCACCCTTATTCCTCATGTTACGGCATACAACCCAATCCCAATATATATATATCAGTACCAATCACAAATGAATAAAAACAAGTGTTCCACAGTTAAATTCAATTTCCCCAATATACTTATACCACAATCCACATAATGGAATATTACTATGATTAAGAAACTTCACCGGTATAAACTACTTAGTGAGACCAACCAAGGTATGCCATAAGGCACCAACAAGCCAATATAAGCCAACAATGTAATAAAACGAAACCATGAAACAATTAAATACTTCAATAAAGAGAACAATAATTAATATGAATCAAGTAGACATGGAACATATATGAGCAAGTAGCAATTAACACATGGAAGCAATCTTGAGCACATAGCAATTAAGGCAAGAATAGTATAATAGGAAACGGGAAAGGGAACAAGCTAAAAAATAAAAATTTGGTGGCGCATAGGTACTCGTCACCACACCTATACGCCACACACATGGGATTTCACAAGCAAATAAGTCGGGAATTCATATTCCCTCAAGTCGAAGTTAGACCAAATACTTACCTCAAGCCAACGGGTAATTCAACACTCAATCATCGCTTTACCTTTCGATTCCACCATCGATTCACTCGTATCTGGTCATAATCAATTCAATAACATCAATAAATGCTAAACAACTCAACTTGAATGCATAATTATAGGTTTTACAACATTTTCCCTAAAACGTCAAAACCCGACCTCGGGCCCGCTTAGTCTAAACTCGAAATTCGGACCAAAATATGATTACCCATTTACCCCTGAGCCCGGATAGACAATTGGTTTTGGAATCCGAACTCAACTTGAGGTCTAATTCCCCAAAATTCGAAAATCCTAATTTCTACCCAAGAACACCCAATTTCCTATGAAAAACCCTAGATTTTGAAGTAAAATCATGTAAAAAGATGAAATAGATTGAAGAAAAAGAGTTAAGATTCATTTACCTATGATTTGGGGAAGAACTTGCTCTAGAAAAATCGCTCTTAGGAGTTTGGTTTAGAAATTTTGAAGAATGAAGTGAAAATCCCGTCTAAAATCTCACTTAACAGGCTGCAGATATCGCAATTACGATCAGGGGTTTGCAATTGCGAACCCTTGAATTTACTGCTGCCTTCGCATTTGCGACCTCTAGGGCCTTCGCAATTCCGGCCAAAGTTTCGCATTTGCGAGGTTGGCCTTCCCATGCCTTCTTCGCATTTGCGACAATGTTGTCGCATTTCCCAGGCCAACAGACTTCGCATTTGCAAAGCCTGATCTCGCATTTGTGAGATCAGAGGCTTGTGCAAAACACCAGATGCATCAGTTGAGTTTTCTTAAGTTCTAATCACTTTGTGTCCTATCCAAAACTCACCCGAGCCCTCGGGGCTAAAAACCAAACATACCCACAAGTCTAAAAACATCATACGGACTTGCTCGTGCGACCAAATCATCAAAATAATATCAACAACTACGAATTTAACCTCAAACTCATGATTTTCCTCAATAACACTTCAAATTTACTATTTTCACAACCGGACGTCCGAATCAACTTCGATTCCTACCAAATTTCACATATAGGGTCTAAATATTATAACGGACCTATACCAGGCTCCGGAACTAAAATACGGTCCTAATACCAACAATATCAAATCTATTTAGATTTCCAAAAGTCATTACATTTTCAGTTAAATAATTTTCTTTAAAAATTCTCTTCTCGGGATAGGGACCTCGGAATTCGATTTCGAGTATATGCCTAAGTCCCATATTTTACTATGGACCCTTCGAGACTGTCGGAACATGGGTCCAGGTCCATTTACCCAAAATGTTGACCGAAGTCAACTAAAATCATTTTTTAAAGCAAAAATCATTATTTCTCAATTTTTTCATACAAAAGCTTTCTGGTATCGCACTCGGACTGTGCATGCAAATTGAGAAGAGATAAAAGGAGGTTGTTAAGGCCTCAAAATACATATTTGACTCCTAAAACAAGAAATAACCTTTTGGGTCATCACATGGAGGTTTTGGTGGCTCCTATCTATTCTTCATATATGCTTGCTTACCCTTCTCACTAAACAATTCGGTTAAGTAACCTTGTTTTAATAAGTGCTCTACTTCACCTTGTAGCAGTCTGCAATCTGCTGTTTTGTGACCGTGATCGTTGTAAAATTCGCACCAGAAATTAGGTTTCTCCTGTTTGGGTTCGATCTCGTTTCTTTTGGCCACCGCACTTTATCTCACATGCTTCTTAAAACAGCTACCAACTCAGACGTGCTAATATTGAAACTGTAACCACCAATCTTTTCTTTTGAACTTCTGTCGTTGTCTCGTGTATCTCGCGTGTCTCACTCCTTTCCAAACCTGGACGACGAACCCGAATCTCTGTCCCCTTGATCTGGAATCATAACTTAGGTTTTCTTGTTTTGAACGTGAATCCTTCCTACTGGCCCCATATAAGGTTTGTACCTGTTCTTGCCGGACCTTTTTTCAGTTTCTGGCCGTCTTGAACTTACCCTTTCATCTCTCCGAGACTGAGTGATAGTGTCTTCTTCTATCCGTAGCTTCATGTTGTACCTGTTGTAAACATCAATACCAAGTTGTTGCAGGGAATTCTCGTAAGCTTTCTTTAAGTCTCCTCGTGGCTTCTGAGCTTTTCTCATTTAAATTACTAGCAAATGCCATAGCTGCCCAATTGTCGGGTACATGTGGAAACATCATTCGTTCACGTTGGAATCTGTCTACGAATTCCCTGAGTAGCTCCGTATCTCCCTATTTTATTTTGAAAATGTCTTCCATCCTTTTTTCAACTTTTTGAGCTCCCGTGTGTGCTTTTATAAATGAATCTGCAAGCTCAGTAAAAGAATCAATGGAATTTTCAGATAAAAGAGAATATCATGTTAGTGCTCCCTTCGTGAGTGTTTCACCGAATTTTTTTAACCAGCACTGATTCAATCTCTTACTTGGTCAAGTAGTTTCCCTTTACGCTAGTTGTAAATGCAGTTACATGATCTCGTGGATCGGTTGTCCCATCGTACTTTGGGATATTGAGCATCTTAAACTTTCTGGAATAGGCAAAGGAGCGGCACTTGGCGTCCAAGGTTGTTGAGAGTATTTATCTATATTCACTCCTTTGATTATAGGTGGAACACCAGGTATCTGTTCTATGCGATCGTTCTGCTCCTTGAGCTGTTTCTGCAAAGTTAGTACTCCCTCCATTCCAATTTATGTGAACTTGTTTGACTGGGCACGGAGTTTAAGAAAAAATAAATACTTTTAGAATTTGTGGTCCTAAACAAATAAAAAAGGGGGTCTAGAGTATTTGTATGGTTATAAAAGCTTCTCATTGGGGGTAGAATTATAAGTTTAAGCTAAATTATTTCCAAATTTATAAAGGGGTCATTCTTTTTGGAACGGACCAAAAGGAAATAGTTTCATATAAACTGGAACAGAGGGAGTACTAAACTTTGTAAATCAGAATTAATTGGGATACCTGACCCTCCATCGCGAGATTCGATGGGAGTTCCTCCGCTGCCTGAATTAGCGAGTCCTGAGCGTGGATTCTCTATGGTTGCGGTGTCATTTGGAGGCGGAGTTGGTGGTACAGTTGGCAACCCACTAACAAAAGCTTAAAGAGCATTGTTAACCTGTTCTGTGATTAATTGCTTCAATGCTGCATCGATAGCTTGATCATCCTCATGTTGGTCATTCATATGCGATTCAGATCTGTCAGGTGTCCCTTCTCGAGATTGTTGAGGAGAGTTTCGTGGTGAGGGGATTGGAGTTCCATCTCCTTGTTGATTTTGCTGATTTAACTGATGTTGCTGATTTTGTAGGTTTTGTTGGTTGTTGTCGTTGTTCGACATGATTTTTTAGTAGAAGAATGGATTTGGAAAGTGAAAAGATTATCAGATTTCCGGTAACGGAACCAATTTGTTTAACCAAAAATTAAGAATTTCGGTCAAAGCCTATTTTTAGAAGTACTCGGGTTACTGATAATCAAGAAAAAGAATATTTTTGCAATAAGAAAGGAAAATTAGAATATGAAATAGCAAAGTACTCAATATAAAGCAAACGTAAATAATTGTATTCCAGTAATAATTAGAACATCCCCATACAAATGACATTTCTATTCCTTATATAGTCATCTCTAAGTATAACGTCTTTCCCCTTTATGATTAAGTCATTATGAGCATTTAATGACATTAATGAAACGTTATAATTGGCAATCGTAATTGTTTCGTGAAGATTTTGTAAGGTTTGTAATCATTCATGCCCATTAATTGAAGACCAATGAATTTATCTTTTTTACTATCTTGGTTCATTCCACCGGTATCTCTTCAAATTACTAAAGAGACCGAGCAACCGTTTCTTCTCGTCTCTTAGACATTTTGCTCGTACCTATTAAGACTCACATCTTTTTAAGTACTCTTCTCCGGGTGTCACTTTTCTAACGATCTTCGTGTCTTGCCATGTTAACCACATAATTAATTCCATATGTAATATTTATTTTCCCCAATACATTAAAGATGTTGTGTTAATACACTGAAAAAGCTTCTTTCCAATTTGTAGTTGTCTTCTCGCAAATATTCCAGTTCTCCACAAACGAAGAGAAGTAGTTCTTTTTTTTCCCTCTCATACCTTTGAATTATCAACTGGCAAAAGCATGGAAAAGGTGGATGAGATTATCCTGTCTATTACTAAGCCCCATATTCTTTCACAATAAACTTTGGTAGCTACACTACAAAATTCATGTTTTTCTGTTCTCTGACCAACTAACATCTCGATATTCATAATTTGTACCAATACATGGCAGCTTTGGCTGCGGAAAATTTATTTGCTTATGCTGAAGGCATCTTCTTAGTGGCTCCATTTGAAGAAGTTTGCTATTCATCTTGCAAGACTGTCAAAGTTATTGGACACCCACTTCTCAATCTGGGGATATGTGCTTTTCTTTCGAGGCTGGGATCTAGATCGTCAACTTTCCACCTATACAATCACAGTAAACGAAAGTTAGTTATCATAGGAAATTCATAAGAAATGAAAATTGAAAAAAATGATAAGTTACTCTAAAAGATGTTGACTTACTTGTATCCACTTGTCAGTCTGTGCAAAAATACCAACATGGTCATTTTTGCCATGTTAATTCCCAAGCAAGTTCGTGGTCCTGATCCAAAAGGAATGTAGCTGTATGGCTTTTGCATTTCCTGGCAATGAGAAATATGAATGCACTATTACTAAGTCCATGGTTCAATAATGTTCATATAATTTCAAAGTTTACCAACAAAAATAAGCAATAGAACTAATTAGTACGTCAAATCTTGAAGGGTTGAACTGCATAGGGTCCTTGTACAATGCTGGATCATAGTGTATGCATGACGCATCTATGTTGGCATGCCACCCTTTCTTTATTTCAAAACCTGCCACAAACATAGGAATCTTAGTTCAACATTAGTTCTGTAATTTCCTGTGGAAGTTCCAACTATAACAGAGGAATTCTGATTATCATTTTTTGTAATTTTGAAAGGGAAATACTCATTACAGTCTCACAAACTATTGGAAATCATGGAGTAATATGCTAAGGATAAACTTGCCTTCAATATTGCAGTCATCAAGTGCAACTCGAGGGAACCATAGCAGGACATTTGACATCCTCAGTGTCTCTTTGACAACCTAAGTATAGAGGGAAATAGAGTCACTTGTTATCGGATTTTGGTGCAGATATAATACAGCGAGAAGAGCCAAATGCAAAAGATGATGCGCGATAGTTTCTACGAACCTTTGAGGCATAGGACATGCTATTGAGATCATCCAGGGTAAGTAAGGCTCCATTAGGCTTGCTTTTGAGTATTGAAATTTGTTCTTCCTGTAAGTTGGCGATTTAATCTCTTTGTTTGCAAAAGAATGAATGCATATTATAATCGAATTTGTTAGTTCCTTCATCGATGGATACTCACTCTGAGCCTGTCCTGGACTTCTCCGTGCTCATGCAAAAACTTGACACTCCACATCATTGCAGCTGCAGTAGTCGTCTGCCCTGCAATTATCAGTGTTAACAAATTATCCATGATCTCTTCATCATCAAGCTTTTGATTGACTGGACAGGAATCCTTCTCCAACATTGACTGCAGGAAGTCTTCATGATATTCCTTCCCATTGCGCCGACTTGTTATCATTGCCTTGAAGGTCTCCATTAACCTTGTGCGTGCCTGTAAAGAAATTTGAGGATGGGCATTACCTAATTAGGATAGATTTCTCTTATATTACATGAGAACTCTTGGTTTTAGAATGCAGTTATAGGCTATAGAAGTCATCGTTCTAAAATATTGAACCCACAAAGTTAAAATTCTAGCTTCACGTCAGTTGCAAGTCATGTTTTGCATTCAACAGTACTCTAACCATACCTTGATGCCTTTATAATATCTGGTGGTTGGAATCATGACGGGAAAGGATAGCATAGCATCAGAAACAGCAGTGCAGTCTCTTTCAATTTGTTCTAGCAACAAAGCATCTTTTATGCTCATCAGCATATCGCACATTGCATCAAATGTTATCTGCAGAAAGAAATTTCACAAGGTCAGAGGACACTCACTGCAGCATACATCGTTGACTTAAGTTTTTCAGGTCGTGGTGACCTACATAACAAGGTAGCTCTTTATAGCAAAACTTGATATGATAACTTGAAGAAGAGAGTGATTATGTAAAAAAAACTTTCACATTGTCCATGTATATAACTTAACTTTTTTTTCTCGGGCACTTATGTCTGATCTCTCTTGAGTTTGCTAAGAACCTTTCATATTGGAAAAATTACATACCTTCATGTTGAAGTCAAGCACAGTGAATCTCTTCCCTTCCTTTTGTACTTTCTTTAATCTTTCAGATAGCATGTTATCAAACCTCTGGACAAACTTAGACAGTGAATTCATAGAGAAAGGATCAGAAAGGAGACGTCTAATCCTTTTGTGACTTTCTTGAGGAACACATAACAAGCTTTTCTTTCCCACAGCATCCGCCATTGATTTCACGTAGCCCTTGTTGAAAAGAGTAAAATCATTGGTAAAAATTGTTTTTGCACCCTCAACACTTGGAACAAACACATGTATCTTCCCGAAAATCCTCGTTTTAAACCATTTTCCATGCCTGTATTAAACAACAATCACACTACCATAATTTGCATAATCTACCGGAGGAATAAATGACACCAAAAAAAAAAAAAAAAAAGGTTTCCAGAATGTCTAGCGTCATATTTATGCATTGATACTGTAGATTATTTGGGAACGGATTTAAGTTTTTATACACTAACATTATACTGAAACTTTTACGCTATCAACATAATTTAAGTTGCCATAGAAAGTTACTTACCATAGTTCCACTTATGATAAATAGTTACCTATTACTATAGTATTTTAAGTTACCTAAAAACATATAAAAAACATTTATACACTGTTAGTGTATAAAAGTAAAAATGTTTGCTAAAAGGATTGGCGTTTCCACATCATAATATCACAGACTTGGCAATAGAACATGGGACCAAGTCCTGGTTAGAGGAAACATTGAAACAGAGGGAATGACATAAATTTGTTGAGACGAAATGATCATCTATGATTCTTTCTTATAGCAAAACGGTATTCATCTTGAGGAAGGGTTTTTGACATAAAATAGAAACTTGTTGATCCATAAAATATGGTGATTGATAATTATTCGGGGAAATGTTGAACTGAAATCCATGAAATTGATGTCTCCGACCTTTATCATTGAAACAGTTGACCTTGGGTCCCATCTCAAAATAAAAGCTATGTTTTCTCAACATAGAAAAATCTAAGGCCTCGTTTATTTTTTTTAAGATTAACAAGTCTATCAAGATGTATATTCAGATTAAGACATTTGAATTTGAATACGTATCTGAATATTAAGATGTGTATTAAGATCTGAATACTAAATTAATAAGGTTATTTGTTTTTAACATTTGAATGTATAAAATTTATTTTTATTTGAAAATTAATAAACATAAAATTCAAATAAAATACTAATTAATCTAATGTTCTATTAATAATATATATTTTTTGAAATATGATAGTTAGTGATGATAATGGCTAACGATGGTGATTGTGAATGCCGACTAGAGGCGATGGTTAGTGGTGATTTTGGTTGATGGTGGTGGTAGTGATGGTTGTGGTCGTTGTTATTGGTGATGGGGTGGTTAGTTGTGGTAGTTGAGGTGGATGAGTTTGTGATTGTGGTTGAAAATGAAGGTGGTGGGGTAGTGGGGATCGTGGGTGGTGGTTGTCAATAATGGTGGTGGGTGGTGGTGTGGTGGTGGTGGTGGTTGAGTATAGCGGTGGTGGGTAGCATGGTAATAGTTGATAAGGGTAGGCAGCGGTGGTAATTAATAATATATAATGAATGTGGATGATAGTATCTTAATGAAATTAAGTCTTTGTTATAGCTTTTAATTATACAGACCTATTACGACTCATTAAGTGGTTGTGAAGTTAAAAAAAAATTAAACTAACGTAATGATTAAGATTCACACATCCATTAAGTGCAAACAAATGAGGCCTAAGTGTTAGATCAAGATAGTAATAAAAACTTCCAATGGATTTAAGAGAGAAATGGAGTTTCTTACCACTCACGTCGGAGTCTAACAAAGTCATAACAACCCTTGACACTGTTGGTTGCTGATAGAAGTGCAAAGGTCTCTCCCACAAAAGGTATTCCCAAGCTCCCTGGTATGCAGCTTTTTGCATCTTTAGTTCTTCCTGATACTTTGTAAAGTGTAATACTTATGAAAAGTATTGAAGCCAGAAGAATGTCATAGTAGTTTCTTACTAGGAGGAGAATGTATTCCATTGACAAAGTAAGCATATTCAGAAATAATGTCAACTTGAAAGGACAAAAAACTACACTTAGTAATGCACTTGCTTTATAGGGGATAAAGAAATACTAGTACTATGTACTTAGCATAATTGTGCATTAGGTAGATATAGAAGATCCAATGTAGTATAGGACAAGATGCCATAAGCCTGGATCTTTTGTCCTGACTTGCTTTGCACAATTGATACGGATCTATCCTTTGAGATAAAATAAAGAACACGCTGACAAAATATGTAGTTGCTTTCAATCTCTTTTTTCTGCTGATTGAGACTTGATATATTTTGGCTAGATGCTAAATGTGATTTATGGTATGCCTGTCACGTAGGGGTTGAAACTTGAAAGCCCCTTTATCCTAGCCGGCATGGCGTGACAGCTTGTCATGAAAATTTTGAAGGATAATCAGTACGAGGTACCAAACCTCTTAATAATTCCTTTAATTTATTTATTGTTAATTAAAAAATTATGATATGACTAACTTTTTCTTTCTAATGATACTCTTCTTTTAATTAAATGAAATTTAAGACTAGTAATTGTAAAATATCAAATGTGCTCACAATTATTTTCTATGGAATAGGTGCTAATTCAGATTTAATTGTCACGTTTAAAAGCACCCCTGTAAATAATCTAGACAAGTTGTTGAAAGAACGTAGATGGAACATTGCAAGGAGTGATTTGAATAGATGGGTTGATATAATTAGGCGATAACTTAGTTTAAAAATATATCTATACTATATTAAAAGTACGAAGGCCTTTAGCGAAATGTCGTACGTCTTTTTTATCCTTTTAAAATAGAGTTCACATTGGACAAAATAGTCATTTGGTAATTTATCCTATATTTAGAAATAGTCATTTAATTATTTTCCTAATATTTAGGATTTGACTTTTCAATTCCTTACCATTCTAAACTTTCTACACTTTTCAATTCACATTATGTTTAGACCGCTTTATAGTCCTATAGGTTTAGGAGGGTTTTTTTAACTAATGAATTTTTACAATTTAATTTTTTATAAAAATATATTAGGATATTGGATTTCAGAAGATTAGGTGAAGGAGTACTTGAACTCCTTTTCAATGTGAGAGTCTTTATTTTTAATAAAATTTTCTTTGTATTTGAACTATATATATTACACGATTTTACTTACATAATTTTGTTCCTTATTTATTTTATATAATCTTAATTGTAATTCCTTCTATATTGTTTTACTAAATAATATAAAAAGACTTGTTGATCTCTGGCACTTTGCTTGATGAGTTATAAATTGCTCCTTAGCAGGTGAATTCATTAAGCTTTTCTTTGTCGTTCTTTAGAATAAAATATAAGCTTTGTTTTTGATGCTTTTATATTTCTTTGGAAGAACTATTTTCCATTTAAGCCTTTGTTTTCCCCTTATTAACCATTCAATTCAATTTCTTTAAGAAAAAAATTATGTTGGTTAAGATTTGTGTCTAATATTCAGTTTTCCTTTCTTATCGAATAGCATCTTTCAAAATTTAGGCTAATGTATTTTCCTTTTCTTTTCCCATTCTATTCAATTTTCTTTTAGACAAAAGATTAAGCTATTTGAGAATTTGGATTAAAAGAGGATTCATCACGTTTGCAAGTATCTAAATCATACATCCATCAGCCCTTCTAGGTATGCTTCTCTACTTCTCTTCCTTTTCTTTTGTGATTAACTATAAAGTATTAAGTTATATGTTATAAATAGTAAATCAACGACAGTCAATTTAAACTTTACATAATCACTTATCAATTTTTTTGGAGCTTACACTTTTTCATTTACTTTTAATTATATAACTTAAATACATTATTACAAAGTAATAATGTAATTTTTTAAAGTTATATATATTGCTATGGGTACATGTGCAAAGCACGTACACTAAGACTAGGACTTTGAAATGACCTTAAAAATAGGTTTCACACTAGACAAAGTCGTAATTAAATAATATTTGTAATTTTTAGTACTTTGAAATCAACTAAAAATTTCTTTCCTTATTTAAATTATGTAGGAACTTCTAATATTTAGGAACACAAAATCAAGAAATTTTTTACTTACATAAGTCAATTTCTTAATTAAATTGTTAACGATAGTTCAATTATAGTTAACAGTTAGGACGTTAAAAAAAACACAGTTCAATTAGGACGCAATAAATATAATTCAATTGTTTTAGCTAAGTCACGTAAATGAAAAGTGTGTGTAAAACATAGTTTTGATTAAAAAATATGAAATTTACACAAATAGACGGTCAATTTTACTGTTAAATTTTTTTAACCGATAAATATTATTTATTATTTTAAAAATTTTGTTTTCATTAACACGAACAACACGCGCAACGCGCGTACACTAAGACTAGTACTTTTAAAAGCGCCCTTGTATATAACTAAGACAAGTTATTGAAAGAGCCTAGATGAAATATTTCAAGAGTGACATGGTATGGCATGAATAGATTGGTAGGAAAAAATCCCTATATAATTGGACGTCTCCAATTGATGCCCTTTCGCAAGCTTAACATGATGTCAGATTTTTTTAAATAAAATTTGTTAAAAGGATGGCAGATTCTTGTCATGTGACAAATAATCAGATCGTGAACTTATTTTGGTTGTGGCTGCTGGATCAAGAGAAGCAAGGTCGGGCACATCATACTCTTCAGGGATTGTGTCATGTCAATTTTCATAGTGAATTGTGGTGTGGACATTGAAATTTTGTCAATTTAGTGCATAAAAAAATTGGACTAGGGCCTCTACAACATGAGCCCATTAGGGTTACTTGGTGGCTACTCCACCTAAACCCTAATTCATGCCTATAAATAAGGTTGCATATGTGCTTCAAAAACCATTTCAGCAATTCCACAAACTCGGAATATGCATGAAGAGATCAAATATGGTGTCTCAAAATCCCATAAACTCTTGGGATCAATATTCACAAAGAGATTAAAATATGGCCGGACACTTCTTGACAATCATATCATCCTACATTCGAGAAATACGCGGATTCAGCCATTGAATCTCGGAGATAATCAGGAGAGAAGAATCAAGGGAACAAACAGAATTGTACCCGCATCATTTTATCAATAAAATTATGTTTCTCTATATTCATATTGTGGTTGCAATTTATTTTTATATCACAAATAATTTGTTGTAAACAAATTGGCACGCCCAATGGGACCAGTTCTGCTCTTCATGACCAATTCTGCTCTTCATCTCTTCCTCAAACGAATCAGAAACTACAAGTTTCAAAATCAACAATTGTTGGCCAAAAAAAAAAAAAACTGTAAATCGTCGTTATGTTGACCTGATCACTCGACGCATGCTCTAGGCTATTGACTTGGATGAGTCCTCTGGGGCAACATCTATTGTTCTCTATGCAAGTGATTGCTCATCCAAGCCGCAAAACTGTAAGAAAGACGCGTCAAGTTCCTTGTGAAAGCCACAAAGTCAAAAAAACGATCCTTCAACAAAGCCGCACACCGGCAAGTGAGACATGTCAAGTCGCAAAGCCACATATGGAAGAAGAAGATGAAGTCCATGAATGATTCCTGCCGGTGACAATAGAATGAAAAGCTTGGAGTAGCAGATTTAAAAGCATTGCAACATCACTGGACATGGACGGTTCATTTTTACTCCTCGTCTTTGGAAAGTTTTCACCTTTCAATGATGATGAGTCCAATTTACTAGAATGTCTTAGAAAAAATTGCTTTCATGATTTTCTAGTTACACTAATAACTATATGTTGCACAAGAATTGACGAAGTGCAAATATAGTAGTACATCAGACTCTGTCTTTGTACAGAGTCTCAAAAGTGGGACTTATAATCTGTTTTTAACTTGGGTTCTACCAAAGAGTTAGTTACGTAAACAACTTAAATTACAAGACATTGAGGAAGAGGCAGGATCCTAATTTCCTTTGGAGTTGGGACAACGTTTTTGTTTACAAGTGCATGTCAAAAGGCAGATTCCAATTGTACTTGGAAACAGAAAAAGGCAAATACAAAAGCAAAGAAGGGAGGTTAAAATAACATAGCATGGCATGATAATCTCACGTGGCTTAAGCTGAAAACTTTATGAGCAAGTCTCTATTTTATTGGAGTAAGGAATAGAAATTCCCTTCTATTCAAAAGTTCAACTGCATCCCGAGAAATGCAGAAGTACAACTATCACCTGCAGTATCAAGCAAGAGTCTTAACACAAGATTGTTGGCTCTAAATGTACTTCAAGCTTCGTCTCTGTGGCTCGTTAAGTCTACACCTCGACGAGACTTGAAGTAGGAGGCATTTGTAGACATTGAAATTTTGTCAAATTAGTGCATAAAAAAATTGGACTAGGGCCTCTATAACATGAACCCATTACGGTTACTTGATGGCTACTCCACCCAAACCCTAATTCATGCCTATAAATAAGGTTGCATGTGTGCTTCAAAAACCATTTCAGCAATTCCACAAACTCTCGGAATATGTACGAAGAGATCAAATATGGTGTCTTAAAATCCCATAAACTCTTGGGATCAATATTCACAAAGAGATTAAAATATGGCCGGACACTTCTTGACAATCAAATAGTTCAAGAAGCTGGAGATCAAATACATCCCCGGGAGGTCTGTATCATCCTACATTCGAGAAATACGCGGCTTCAACCCTCGAATCACGGAGATAATCAGGAAAGAAGAATCAAGGAAATAAACAGAATTGTACCCGCATCATTTTATCAATAAAATTATGCTTCTCCATATTTATATTCTTGTTGCAATTTATTTTTGTATCACAAATAATTTATTGCAAACATGTGGAAATCAATGTATCTTAAAATTTGGTTCATTGTTGAAGTACTAACGTGAAATAATAAATTTGGAGCTGAAAATTGATTTGAATAGTACTTTATTTTTGTAAAGTAATGACGAAATATATATTAATAATTAAGTAGTTGCATTACATATCGATGGTGATTCAGCAGTGGCACCCAAAACACCTGGGCCAGGAGGCCTGCTAGTCATATTACAAAAATTATTGATGTTCCCAAGCTCGGCTAGATTGTTTAGAACATTGGAAGATACTAGTCTAG